GTTAGTCAGTCGAGCTCCATCACGTGGTTACTTTCACTCTTTTGTTACGGACCGGACTCTGCGTGAACCTATCATTGATGGTACCTTGCATTTATTTTCAGATGTACTATCTTTCTGTTCCATGTAGCATCTACTGTAAATAAGGAGTTTTGGCCGTTTTTCAGTAACTGATCTGGTTGATTTAGTGGCAACTGCTACGTTACAAAGTTTTTGTTCAACCCGCTGAATGCTTCAAAAGCGTGTGGAAATAGTACTTAGTACAAAATATTCATTTATTTCTTCATATTTTTGTGGTACTCCTAAGAAACAAATCAATTGAAGTTTGATTTGACGCTGACCATCAATCGTCAAAGACCTTGTGCGACTAAACCTCGATTGCAATTGGTAGATCCTTTTCTACTTCTATGAAGCTGAAGCCTCTAACTCTGTTGTTTAAAAAAGGCAACACTGTTTTTGAACGAAGACGTGCGGTCCATGAAAATCAATAGATATGTGCGTGAACATGGCGTCGAGTGTCTGTCTACTATGTTACGAAACAACGTTATAAGCTCGCACAATATTTGAGGTGAGGTTGTTGTTGTTGTTGTTGTTGTATTAGAAGCAGAGAAGTAGACGCGAATCCTAGACAAAGTTCTCGATTATGATGCTTAAGGAATAAATACAACTCTCCAACTGTCCTGATAGTAGCAAACTTTCTTAGATACAGCACTTCGCGATATAAATAAACATTTATTTCGGAGTATCTTTAGATTGTGAAATATCCACTGGTGCTGCGTGGCTTCAAGGTCCTGGCCACTTGCAGTAAATGTGTAATTAAGTAATTCTAACATTTAAGTCCTTACACAAGTGTTCGATAGTTAATATATTGCGAGTGTGAAGATGCTTTATGTTTCATTCACATTGATGGCTTCTCGGATAACAAACTTTTACAAAGAAAGGATTTTGAACCATCACATCCCTCAATGACCACTATGGTCTGATCTGGAGCACAAAACGAGCACAGTAGCACAGAATTACAACAGTACAGGAGCAAATACTTACCTCATACGGTCAAGGAAATCTCCCATATTAAACGAAGGGATCCGCAATCTCAACTGCTCCTCCAAGAATTTTTCAACGGTATCTACCTGCGGCGTTGTTGATAGAGGAAGGTGATTCATACGTATTCTTCGTGAATTGAGGTATAGCACAACTTATTCTCATCCGAATCCTCAAATGCGTAGCAGTTATTCTCAATAAACTGCTCCTGGATTTCCTGGAACTCGTTACCTTCCGATAGGTAGAAATAAAACTTATACTCATTATTATGTCCTCCAGGTAACCAATAACTTCATCAAAAGGCGAAACAGCTCCGTCTTGTGACCTCAAATACAAACAGCTGAACCGTTGAAAGTATTCAGCCTACCCCGCGAGGAGCTCCTCTGAAACGCCTTCCCGTTTAAGCAGTAAATTGGGTTTGGTATCTGGTCCAACTGATACAAGTGATGTAAACTTGCACCTACCACCGTGGTCCATTTTCAGTCCGTCAACCACGCCTTAGTAGTCATGACGATGTTTACTTAAACAAGCTTCCGGCATTCAGTGCTCAAAGCTGGAGACGACCGTTGTCTCGAGCTCGTATTTGAGAGAAGAATTTTTCACCAGAACGTACTGCTTTAGTAGGATTTCCTCCACAGCGTCAAGGAAAGCGCTAAACTACCACGTGAAGGCAAACTGTGGTAGTCGTAGCCGCGCCCTCGAAGCTCAATGCCTTTTTCTGCTAAACCTTTGCGAACTGAATGAAATTTTTAAGTCTATATGTTGCTTTTTGTTGCATAAATGAGCAGACCAAAAATCACTCTCATTTGCCGTCATTTTTAGCAATCCGTTTTAATTGATCTTTCGAAATGTTCGGTGCACATTCGAGGTGATCGCCAGCGGCTAGACGCACAATGCATTTTTCTGCAAAACCCCTGCGGGCGAAATAAAAACTTTAACGTCAAAATGTTGCACTTCTTTGCATATATGCGTAGACTGAAAACCCCCCTCATCTGCCGTCATTTTTTGCGATTTGTTTTAATCGATGTCACTTGAAAATTATTGGCGCACATTCGGCTTTGAACTTCGTCTGCTATTGTAGTATACGGTGTTTGTCAGTTTCATTGATTCATATGTAAGTATTGGTGATGTACAACCTTGCTTACTGGGCCTTCGCTCATGAGCTTTATTTTGTTTGCCATCCACAGAAATTGTCGTGAACACCTGCCTTCGGAGAATCACTGTCCCCTCGTGTTTCCATAGCGTGCATAATACACTATGGCTTCGGAAGTGGATTTCGTTGAGAAATTTGTGGGTGTGTCGTTTTCATCCTTCACGGCATTTGAGAAGACCTTAAATGAATACATGAAGGATAATTTTGTGATATTTGTGCGTTCATCCAGTAATCGAAGCACCAACACTATTTTGCGTTACGAATGGGTGTACTACAAATGCAGCAGGCGCCCTCCAAGAAAAACGGAAAGCCGTGGAATCCGAAGAAGCTAGTAAGCCGAGCGTAATTTCTAATAAAAAAAGTACGCGAAGCACCAGCTGCCCAGTGCGGTTTTGTCTACGGAGGCAAAGGAACCAACTGGCAGTGACGTCTTATTTTCTGGAACACAACCACAAACTGTCAAAGTTTCTTTACGATCGGCTTCCAGTCAATCGACGCTTAACCGAAGACGAGTTGGGCACATGCCAGGCCCTGCTGAGATATGGAACGCCGTCATCTGAGGTGCGGCAGTTTGTGGCGGATGAATTCGGAAAGATTCTTACAACTAAGGATATACACAACTACCGCCGGAAGTGTCGACCGGCTATGTTGAGTAGGTGCCTAATGGTTGGGTTTTAATGTAGCAGATGATATGCCTTCGGTCCTGGCAAAACTTCGGGAGACCGGACGCGTTCTTGTGTGTCAGGGAGAGGAAGGTCACTATAGCCACATATGTTTCTCCCGATGGCAGCAGATAGCGTTATTCCGACGCTTTCCCGACGTAGTGAATGTGGACGGGACACATGCAACAAACCGCCTTGGGTAAGTTTTTTTAAAGCATCTAATATTCGGTATTTAGATATAAACTATACACATTCTTGATAACGGACGGCATGGGAACCGGGCGTCCGGTTATGTATGCGTTCGTAGAGAGCGAGCAGTTTGCTCCCATGCGTAAACTGTTCGGCTTGTTCAAAGAAATGATGGGCGAAGCGTATCCGGTCAGGACCTTCGTAATGGACAAGTTGGCGGCGCAAATGCGTGCGGCAAGAGTAGTGTTCGGCTGTGACATTATGCTTTGCTACTTTCACGTCCGCAAAGCCATCAGGAAGCACGTATGTATCATTTAATATCCATGTATTTATGGTCACAGACACATTCTGCGAACAGCCGGCACATATTTCACCGCATGGCTCGCCTGGACAATGCTGTACAGTAGGTTTTATGTTCATCATATTACAAGCACACAGATTCCGACAAGATCTACAGCTTCTGCGTCGAACCGACCCCCGTTTTCTCTCCTATCTTACGGCTCGCTGGTTGTACATCACCCGAAAATGGGCCATACACGCACAGTCCGGAATGGTTCATTTCGGTAATGTGACCAACAACCGACTGGAGAATGCGAACGGGCGCCTTAAAGATCAGGTGCACCACTCCGACACGTTGGAGCATGCCATTCAAAAGGTGTCCCGGCACGCCGAGTGGCTCATGCGGGAGTTTGAGATGCATACGTCGTACCACTGCGACAGGCGGAAAATCCTGGAGGGTGACGCCTACGTTCTAAACGTAGTCTGTCGAATGACGACATATGCATGCTCTCTCGTTTTGAGACACTTGGGTCCGCGACCGCCGCGGCTGCCGTATGAAAGTGTCGAAACAAACAAGGTGAGGTCGAGCTCCGTAAACTAACTCATAGTTTGTGGTGCAAACACTTAGATGCTCCCAGACTGTCGACACCTGTGCTGGAGAATGCACGTGCCCTTTCTACCAGGCGATGTGGCTCCCCTGTGTGCACCTGTTCTCTGTATTTCGAGATCAGTCCGTTCCGAGCAGTAAGAACTATTCATCATTGACTTTTTCTTAGCTTGCTTTCCAATCCACCAACGATGGCTGTCAGATTACAACCTACCGGGAAAAGGTGTACCACTTACACTTGTTCCCAAACCACCCCCGACAGCTTTCGACGGTCTTCGTAAGCAACTGAATCGGGTGATGGATAAGCTTCAGAGGCTGGAACCCAGGAGGGCCACCGCCATATTTAAGCGGCTGATTGTTCAGGGCGAAATCCTGCTGCGTCAAGCCTCAAAGTCTGCAACCGACGATCTGCCGTTGGTGGTCGAGGATACTGCGCCTCAACCCAGATGGGGGTCTGGAAACGCTGACTTGGGGTTCTGTGTGCTCTGTGACCGGCCTACTACTACCAGTGACCGCTGGTGTACAACGGATCGCGTGTCATATCACGCCGACTGTTGTGACGGTGAACCCTGCCCACTGTGTGGTGGTGCGCTTCAGGCTTGTCCCATAGGTGAGTCCACATGAAAATAAATCACTTTGGGTTCTTAGCTCCGGGCCCATCCAGAAAACGCAGAGGTGTGCTTGCTATCCGGTCCGCAAAAAGGGCGTCTTATGATGTTGACCTGGACCGAAGCACAGATTCCCAGCACAGTGTGTCCCGTAAGTCCGTGTGCGTCCGTGTTTTCGGGTCCACAGAGGAACTACTCGACGGCCGTGAGTCTGTCTGACAACTACGACTAACTCTGTAGAGCGCCGGCTAGATGAAAGAGATGAAGATGATTTCATGTGATCCATCGGCTCCGGAAAGTTTGTCTGGTAATGAGATCCTATGCATTACATGTAAGTCTCGTATTTCTTGAGAGTTGCAGTAAACAGGCATGCGAAATAACCGCTGAGGATCGCATTATGTGAACAGGCATCTACGACAGCATAGCCGCTGCAGTGAATTTTCGGGTAAGTATCTCTACCTGTTTGTCGGCCGCCCGCTTTATGGTGATATTTCGATAACCTGAATTATATGTTCCTCTCATTTAGGATTTCAACGGCCAAATGAACGCTCCTCACGAAGAAGAAAATGCTTCTCACAGAAGGATATATGTAAACTTCAAAACGACCAATATATTCCAAAATCTCAAGACGTCCATTTTGAGCCTTTTCTCCGTTACCGATGGGTGGATTAGTTGGGTATCGTGTACCCCTAGCCGCATGTTAATGATGTGCGTCGGTTGAGATCGTTCAGCTGTCTGGTATTATCGACGTAGGCCCTATGTGGCTAGTTAGTTAGGTATCGTGTACCCCTAGCCGCATTTTAGTGGTGTGCATCGGTTAAGATCGATGAACTCGGAGGACTTTCTAGCATAACTCGGAACCTGTAATGTAAAACTCTGTAATTTGCCAGTCAACGTTCACGATGTTTAGCAAATAATTAGCGTGCACCACTGGCAACAAAGAATCATCGGCCAAAAGTTGTTTGCACGAATGCGCCTGCGCATAGGTTGCATCTCCAACTTAGATTCCAGAATGTTGAGGAAGTCTGTTCCGGTGGAAAAATACCTGAAAGTTACGTTCATTGTATGTGAGTCAACCTTTTCCACAATTCGCGATTTTTTTCATCCGTTAAGGTATTCAAAGTCGGCGGGGTTTATTCACCTGGAGATTTAGTTCGCTTAAACAAATCGCTATAGTAAAGGATTTTCAATAATACAGGAGCATGTACATTATACATAGGCATTCTACACTATGAAGTGGCAGGTCTGAAAATGCCGTAGATTTCGAGAAATCAATCTCATTGTGCGAATAGCCAGCGGCGAGGTGATCAGTATTCGCTGAATGGAACTTTGTTCTCCGAAACCACTACGTGTCTCTGAGGCACTAAACCACAAGACAAATTGCGTTCTGAACACCAGTTCAAACTTTTGAGCCTCAAATAGGCACCCCAGAATCCATTGATGCCAGGAAAGCATTCCACCAGAATTTTTCGCCGGAGGCATGACTGCTTCAACGGAGAATGAAATTTAGTAACCTGCGAAAATATGGATGTATAGTAGAATGGTTTCGGTTTCAGCAATTACGTAACAAAATACATTAAACTTCCGTGAAACGTATGATTTCATTCGAATGGGCTTTGCAGCTAAGGGATAGTGAGGCCAAGAAAACCCGGTTTCTGAAGTGGCTTGACAGGCGTTCGTTGAAAAATTTGGGGCTGTGTTGCGTTACAAATGGGTGCGCCACAACTGCACCAGACGGTCTACATAACTAACGAAAAATCAAGGAAGCCGACCAGGCTTGTACGATGGGCATGTTTTCTAATAAATAAACAGTACGCG